AATTTCTCAGACTTTTTGCCATTTTCATATTAATCCTAAGCGGCAGGTTTTCTTTGTTTCTTTGGTAGCTTTATAAATATTTCCAAAGTGCAATACCAGAACTGGTCACTAGAGCAAACCAAATAGTATTTCTCTGTGTTTTCTGTCCAGTGGCAAAACAACTCATTAATAATGAGCAGCCGAATAAATTATGTCCATGATTGGAGCAACAGTAACAGCTGTCTGAATGCAGACTAATGCAGGGAGTTTCTTTAAAAAATGTAATGGTTTGGGCTTTGATGTATGGTTATTAGTAATAATTATGATTTATTTGTACTATACATTGGTACTGATCAGTTCTTCAACGTGGTCTCTATGGATCCACAATAGTGGGTTAAGACAGCACCTGCGCTTGCCTCTCGGAATCTTCTAGAGCTATAGGGAAAACTAACAAAGTTTGAGTTGCCCTGTATTGCGCATGCTCTGCCCGCCAAACCCCAGTTCCATTTTTTCCACCAGTGGAATGGGAACCTCTCGGTTAGAGCTGTGTTAAAAATTTCTTTCTTCATTGTGCATTTGACCTGGAATTGGCTTTTCGACTTCTCTACCTCTGTTGCCCTTACCATGCACCGTTTTGACTTCTCCTTTGCCTCTGGCGATACAGCAGGTACCTAAATTGCCTGTAATTGCTGCCTATTTACCGCCCGCTGAGCCACCACACGCCTACCGGACTTCTTCTATTATCAGTTCAACTGCTTGTTTCCGGCCTCTCTTGGCTTATGTCACCTAAAAGAAGTCCATTTAGCCGCTGTTCGTCGTGCTCTAGAAAACTTCCCTTCTCAGACTCCTGCGTCTTAAACATTTTAAGCTCAGGCTACCGGCTGGAGTTTATAGAATTGCCTCCTCTGGGATGGATCAAGCCTACATCGTTCGATCCCATCCTAGAAGAAGAGATTCTCACTCTTCTTGCAAAACAAGCCATTCAGAAGGTACCATACCGGGACATACAAAACGGGTTTTACTCCCGGTACTTCACCGTACCCAAGGACGGCGGTCTAAGACCAATTCTGAATCTGAGGGACCCAAATACCTACCTCAAACCACGCTGTTTCAGAATGGTCACCTTAGAAGCAATCATTCACCTGTTGAAGAGAGGAGACTGGTTTGTTGTTGTGGATCTAAAAGATGCGTACTTCCACATTACCATCCATCAAAAGTACAGGAAATACCTGCGTCTAATCTTCATGGACACCATTTACCAATATGTGGCTCTTCCATTCGGCCTCTCAACAGCTCCGAGGACCTTCACCAAATGCATGGCCCCGGTAGCAGCTTACCTCCGTCTACAAGGGATACAGATTTACTCTTATATCGATGACTACCTGATCGTGTCCAAATCCAAAGCAAGAGCAGTCAAGGACACACATACTCTGCAAGCGCTAGGCCTGTCGATAAACTATGAAACCTGATCGTGTCCAAATCCAAAGAGCAGTCAAGGACACACATACTCTACAAGCGCTAGGCCTGTCGATAATCTACAAAAAGTCCCACTTGGAACCATCTCAAGTGATGGATTACATCGGAGCAAGATTGGACTCAGTCCATGCTCGCATGTTTCTACCTCCAGAGCACATACAAAAAATAAGAACGGCCGTTCGGAAATTCAAGCCACAGGGCAAAGTGTCAGCAAAACACGCACAGCATCTTCTGGGTCTCATGGCATCAACAACTTGTTTAATCCTCTGCAGGACAGCCAGCACAAGCGTCTAACAGTCACTCCAGAGCTAGCAGAACAACTTCAGTGGTGAACATTCCTACCACATCTTCTCGTAGGACGACCTTTTCGACCCCTGCAGTTGACACGTCAGGTTACAACAGATGCCCGTCCCCTAGATTGGGGAGCCCGCTGCGAGGGACACCAAATTCACGCCCTTTGGTCCCCTCAAGAAGCTTCTCTCCACATCAGTCATCTGGAACTGATAGCAGTGATGAAGGCGCACAGAGCGTTTCTCCCATTGGTGAAAGGCAGAGTGATACAAGTTGTCACAGACAACACTACGACCATGTTGTATATAAAGAGTAGACCATGTCTAGATGGGCGGCATATAAATGCAATCAATCAATCAATCAATCAATTAATCAATCAATCAACCAACCATCAATGCAGCTACCAACATGAATTTGACCAAAATCCAGGAGGCAGTGGAAGACAGGAGGGCCTGGCGTGCTCTGGTCCGTGGGGTCACGAAGAGTTGGACACGACTTAATGACTAAACAACAGCGCCTTTATGATTCCATGGAACAAGGGGCTCCTCTATCTTTTTCCACCGATACCCATCATTCAGAGAGCCCTAATCAGAACACTCCAGATGAAAGCAGAGGCAATTTTCATTGCTCCTTGGTGGCCACGACAACCGTGGTTCTCCATGCTCCTGCAGTCAGCGGTGGACAAGATAAGGTTAACCCCTTCTTCCACATCTGATCACTCAGGACGAAGGGAACGTCCTTCATCCAGACCTAGAGTCTCTCCACTTGACAGTGTGGAGGATTTCCCATCAATAACAGAAGTTATTGATAAAGCCAGGAAGCCAGCTACCAAACTGCTCTACAATATAAATGGCAAAACTTTCTCAGGTTCACTGAAGAGCGGAAGTTGCAATCTTCACCTGTGGCCTTGTCTACACTCCTTCTCTATCTGCGACACCTGTTTGACCTAAGACTTTCCAAATCTACCTTAAAAGTCTACACCTCGGCCATTGTTGCTTTTCAGCCCCATGGCTCTGAGTCATCCAGGTGGTTTTCACACCCCACACTTAAGCCGTTTTTCAAGGGTCTGTCCAACATGAGACCTCCGCTAAAGAAACCTGTGCCACAATGGTCACTGCAAATGGTGCTTCATTGCCTCACTCGCCATCCCTTTGAGCCCATGGCTTCCTGTGACCTTTGATTGCTCTCATTCAAGGCTTTATTCCTGGTGGCCATCACTTCTGCTTGTAGAGCTAGTGAATTGGCAGCACTTCGTGTGGACTCCCCATGCCTTCAGTTTTTTAAGGACAAGGTGTTACTACAACCTGATGTTTCCTTCCTCCCTAAAGTGGTTTCTGAGTTCACGTTAACCAGCCTTTAATATTACCAACTTTGTTTCCTGACCCAGTTACCGATGTTGAGTGCATGCTTCACTTTTTAGATGTTCGAAGAGCATTGGCTTATTATGTTACCAGGACTGAAGACTTTAGGAAAGTTCAAAGATTGTTCATCTGTTTCTACTGTCAGCGTAAAGGTTCCGCTGCCTCTTCTTCTACTCTGTCCAGATGGTTAGTCTCCACCATTTCTCTGGCCTATGAGTTGCAGAACAAGCTTCTCTCTGAAGGTCTTAGAGCTCATTCCACCAGAGCTGTTGCCACATTCACGGCCCTGCTGCGAGGAGTTGACATCCAAGACATTTGCAGAGCAGCAACTTGGTCCAGTGTGTCTACCTTTGTTACACATTACAGACTGGACCTCCGAGCCAAGAATGAGACCAAGTTTGGGAGAGCAGTGCTTACTTCACTTCTGCAGTGACGGCCCTCCTTCCAGTAAGTGAGCTTGCTAGTCACCCACTAGTGTGGATTCATAGAGACCACGTTGAAGAAGGTCAGGTTACTTACCTGTAGACATGGTTCTTCAAGCGGATCGCTATGAATACACACAACCCGCCCAACCTCCCCACTGTCCGTCACTGTATGGTCGAGTCCAACTCCGACTATGTGGTGGGCAGATGGAACTGGGGTTTGGCGGGCGGAGCATGCGCAATACAGGGCAACTCAAACTTTGTTAGTTTTCCCTATAGCTCTAGAAGATTCTGAGAGGCCAGTGCAGGCGCTGTCTTAACCCACTAGTGTGTATTCATAGAGATCCACTTGAAGAACCATGTTTACAGGTAAGTAACCTGTCCTTTTTCTTTGCTCAGAACATGAAATATATAAATATTAATCAGTATCTCACACAATGTTACATAATTCACAGTATTTTATGTATTCGTGTAATATTCAAAATTCATCAAAAGTTGAAATAAAAATATATATTCAAGAAACCTACTGTTTGCATAGGTTATAAACATATGGAACTAAACATTGGTCTATCAAGCTCAATAGCAGCTGTCTCTAGAGCATAGAGAAGGAAAAAGAACAACAAAACTATTCAATTTGCCTTCTTGAGATATTGGTTATTGTTGGCCCTCTCTTGCTGTCTGATTACAACCATTCCCCTAGTTCAGCTACTCCCAACCTTGAGTAATCTAGTAATCTGCACTGCAGTTCCCCGGCACAGCTGGTGGTAAAGGGTTTCTGGGAATTGCAGTCCAAGAACACCTGGGTTACCTCAGGTTGGGAACCACTGCCCTAGTTCATTCCTCTTGTGTTGTTTCCATCCTCATATTGTAGCCTGCGTTTTTCCTTCCTCATCTTTTCCCTTTTATATCATGTCTTTTAAGTTGAAGGGCTGATCATCATACCTGTATTACTGATCTTCATGACTAACATTTCAATTTATGAGCAGAGTCTTTCCAAAGTGTGCAAATTTAGACCAGCTGACACATATATCTACTTAACCTGGACCTTCTAAATACAAAGGATGTGCTCTGCCACTGAGCTATGTCTTTTCTTTCAAATATTGTCTCTAGAGCAGAGGTTGTCAACCCCTGTTCAGTGGCCCGTTGCCGTTCCATGGCTTGAGCCTGACTGGGCTGCGAAGACAGATCTCCCACCCACCCCCGCACGCACTCCCCTCCCCACAGCTGCTTTGCACACACATGCGCATGCTAGTGCCAGCGTGAACACTCCCTCACCCCTTCAGGCATGTGCCCCCGCATGCAAAGCAGCTGTGGAGAGGGGAGTCCATGTGGGAGGTCTGTCTTCATGGCCCAGCGGCGTGGATGTTCAAGAGCCTTATTTATTTTTATTTATTTATTCATTCGATTTCTACCCCGCCCCCCTAGACAGCGTCTATTTGGGGCAGCTTACAAATATCATAAAATACAATAAAACATCACAATCATAAAACATTTAAATAATAATATAGTGTGATCAAGATGGGGAATGAAAGAACAGAAAGATAGATTTCAATAATTGATAGGAGGGAAAGCCTGCCTGAAGAGCCATGTCTTTAAATGGCTTTTAAAAACACCCAGCGAGGGAGCCAGGCGGATTTCCATTGGTAGATTATTCCACAGCTGATGGGCCACTGCTGAGAAGGCCCGGTTTCTTGTTCTTTCTTTCCGGGCCTCTCTCGGTGTTAGGCCCCTCAACCGTCCCTCCTGGCTATGCCGAGTAATTCGCCCTCAGCAGGCCGATGCCGCCACTGGTGCCTCCAGCTCCGGAACCAGCACCAGCGGCTGCTCGCCATTTGAATTTCCCGCTGCGGAGGGCGGCAAGGAGCCCCACCCCTGGCCTTGTTGGAGTCTGTCGGGAGGCGAGTGGCCAGAGGGAGCACCCGGGCCATGCTCAGACTCCCAGGCTTCCGCCACTGCTGGCACGCCCTCCTGCGCATGCACGAAGCAGTGGGGAAGCATGCATGCCTCTGGTGCATGTGTTTCCCCAACACTTCATGCATGCCTCTGAGAGCGCAAGCGCGAGGGGGCACCCCACCTCCCTCAGAGGCTCAGCCAGTCTGCAGTAGGAAAAAGGTTGATGACCTCTGCTCTAGAGACTTTGAAAGTGCTACAAGTTGGGCCACATCGAGTCATTTCGCAGCAGTTGTGAAAGTGATTCCTTGCACCAGTAGTAATATGCTTTTAAAGTTTGCTTTTAAGATTCACTACCATATATTAAGGCCTTTTTGTACCCGTTTATGACATCTCCTACGTTGGTGGTTATAGTAATCAGCACATTTTTCTGCAGAATAATTGCAGTGTGGCATTAATTTAAGAAGACTGTTAAAATATTGGTTTATGGGGGTGAAAATGATCTTCATTCTTGTTAGATGGGTGGTTATAAATAGGTCTGAAAATGCTAACAGGCTGGGCCTGCTTCTTCTCTACTATTCCTTTTGAAATCCTTTAAAGCAAATGATTCATCAAATAAGCAAGTGTAAAGGAAGAAATCTGCCAATTTGTAGAATTTGACTCCTCCTAATCAGTGCAAGGCTGCAGGATGTTGAGTTCCTGCCCTCTACCTGATTAAAGCCAAATGCACTCTGAAATAGCTGGGACTCAGAGGAAGCGCCAAACACTTCACAGTTGGGGGTAGGACAGCAAAAGAATAGAAAAGGAATCCCTTTACCTTTGTTGTTTTTCTGGCACTTGCAGATAAGCATTTATTTCCTGTGGTATTGGGGCCTTTAAGAAGCCATTTGCAGTGGAAGATAGAATAGTATGTTCCGAGTCTTGGCATCCCCCCCACCCCCACCCCACCCCCCAATATTGTAGCTGTTTTCTGTATAGCCATTCTTCTTTAACTAGGGTCACTGCATATGCCAGGTTTTCAAAGACGGATTTTTCGCTATACAGGGAGCAGAAAATGGCCACCTAATGGAGGATCTTCGCTGGACGAGCAGGTATTTCGCCCATTGGAACGCATAACGGTTTCCAATGCATTTCAATGGGCTTTTTTATTTCGCTTGATGACGAGCTTGTCATCCCCCCCCCCCCCACCCCACCCCCCAATATTGTAGCTGTTTTCTGTATAGCCATTCTTCTTTAACTAGGGTCACTGCATATGCCAGGTTTTCAAAGTCCTGCCCACCTTTCAGCAAGCCATAAGTTTTAAATGAGTAAGAAGAAAATTTCAGATTAATTTGCTATCTGGATTCTTTTGATAGTTCCCATAACTGTGTGGGATTCTTTAAAAATGCTCGTCCTCCTTGTTTTTCTGTATGGTGAAAAGTCATTGTTAATTATCAGGCAAGTGGTAGTGTTACCTTCCTCTTTACACTCTAAGCTTGATGTAATTGTCTGCAGTTGTAGAACTGTACAGTATCTTACTTTTAGTTTAAATGTATTCATTCCCATAACAAAGGAGTCTTGAAATGACTTGCAGAAAAGAAGAGGAAAAAACAAAAAAGAGAAAAAACAATGTATAGTAACATATTCCCCTGAATCATCTAGAATTTAGTAATAATATCCATCTAAAAGACCATGTAGATTTGCCACCACTCATTCATTAAAGGACAATTAATAACAAAACTAGGCAGCACAACTGGACTATTAAGTGATCATACTGTGTGGGATAACTTTGTCTAGTGTTATAAAGATGAGCTTCTTTGGAGACAGTATTCACTAAGGGTGAAAGACATCTGAAGAAAGGGTCTGTTCTCTTATTGCTACCCATTGAAAGATCTATTTAAAGAGTCACCAAAGCTATAGCTTTAGCTTCATTTGTGTTACATATACAAATAATTGTATTTTAGTCATTTTATTGTATTGAATTTTAATTATTGTAAGCCACCCAGAGACCTCTGGGTAGAGTGGGTGGCATATAAATTAATTAAATAAATAAAAATAAAATAAATATGGATTTTCTGTGTGAGAGCATTTGGAGCGGGGTACTCTGTGGTCCACACAGAATTTTGTTGTTCATGATTCTTTAACTGTTTTATCAGCCTTTAAAATGGACTTTAAAACTTAAACATTCTGAGTGTCAAAGGCTATACATTTAAATAGTTATGATAATTAATAGATCTGTCTTGTTTTCATGTGCAGATTGAAAAATATTTTTAAGGCTTCCAAGCATGATATTTTTGGCAAGCAGAGTTAAATCGTGTGTCCATTGTATACTTATCACACAAGACACCCTCTTTAGAGAGAATCAACATTCAGTACCTCAGATGGCAACAGAAGCTAAGTGTACTTGTACTTTTAAAATCTTAAATCTTACTGGTGAACTATAGTGACACAATAGACATTGATGGGTGGTTCTTCAGTATACATCATTTTGCATTTCAGTATCAGTAATGGTCACTCAGTAAATAACATATAATTGTTTCTCCTCATGAGAAGCAGTTAAAATAGTAACTGGAAGCAAAAGGCAGTGCAGGAATTCATTTACAGTAATCCAGAAAAAATAACAACAGCAACAGCATTCCTGTTATTATACAGGTGTTTGTTGTTATTTAAATCTTATAGCTGTTTGCAAATACTTGACGTTTCTTATTTGATGTAACTCTGTAGGATGAAATAACGTTGCCATTGTTGTCACGATATTTAATAGTCGTTGTTGGTTGCTAGCATGATATGGAGCAGCAGAACACAAAATGCTGTATGAAGAGCTCAGTTTTTCAGCTGTTACCTGAGCTTAAGGTTGCAGTCCTAAAATTCATTTCCCGCGGATCAAGCCTTGTTGGACCAAGTGGGACTTATTCTGAAGACAGTGTGTGTAGGATTTCAGCAAAACGATATTAAGTTAATACTGTAATACAGCAAAATGTAATTAGACACCTCAGTTACGCTTTTATTCAGTATCCTGTGATTTATTATTGTTTCCATTTATCGTTTTCTAAATCCATTTATATAGCAGACATTGCACATTTTTAGTTTCATTTTAGCTCAGTTTGCACCAGCAGGAATGTTTTCAATTAAAACAAAAAACAAAAAAAGCAAAGTGAAACACTTGCTAAGGTAGCAGTAAAGCACCTAAATGGAACAAATACCATTGCCTTGATTCAGCAGTTAGTGCTTATGGGTTAGCCTCAAATTATATTTTTTTCTATGTGCAATTATGTAATCAGGTGCCTATTGATGTGTAATATACTTGCTTTAAATAGCGTCAGAAACATTTGTGTATGGTCTGTGAAAGTTTGGAATGATGTTTTGAATAGGTTGGATTAAAACCAGAGCAGAAATACGAACTTATTCATAAATAGGAAAGTTTTTCCTCTTTCATGTTGGGAAAAAAAGGTGTCTGAGCATATCAAGATGCATTACTCTTGTCCGAGTCAGTGGAACCTGCCTGCTTGCTTTTTGCAAACATGACAAAAATACATATGTTTACAGACATGTATATTCAAAATAGGGAACAAATGTTTCATATTCATATGTATGAGATGTTGGTCAGTTTATCTTCTCATTTTGTACCACATTGCGGCAAAAGAAAACATGCCAAAAAAAAGGGTCTTTGGATTAAATTCAGTTTTAACCTCAACTAAAGTAGACCAGTTGGAAGAAATGGGAGTTGCTAAACACTGAAATGGGTGCCATTAATTTCAGTGAGACTACTATTAATTCACTTTAATATTTAAGAGCAAATTTTATAAGCAAGAAAAAACAAAAGCAAGTGAAGGAATGTTTAAGGCTCCTTCTCCAGAAAATTGTTAATTTTTTTAATCCAGTAAAGGTGATCATTCTCAAAACATATTTATATGTTTTATACAAATTTTATACAAAATATAAAAGCAAGGCACATCTGTTGCTTTGTTGTCAGAGTAACAGAGGTTTGTGGGCTAAATCCTGTTGTTAATCTTATCCATATTAGAGCCACTGATTTAACGGGACATTGAGGCATTATATTTTTTCCTTTGAATTGATTGATATACTGAAATATATATATATACGGTATTTTCCTGAAATTGTTGGGATTATAATGCTTATATTTGTTTTCAATACTTTTGACTTTCCCCACTACTATATAAATATATAAAAAGGGGGACATGGAGTCAACTTGTTTAGATGATTGTGAAAAAGCTTGCAAAGTCTTTCTCTTTGTTTGGACCAGCCACTTTTTGCTCTTCCAGTGTTAGAAATTGTGTGTCAGATGTTGATGTTTTATTGGCTTAACATTAAATGCCTACCCTGAAAATGATGTTACAACGTGTGGAAATACCATATAGAGAAACTTCGTCTCAACCTTTTTAATTTTCTTCTTAATTTCAGGTTAAAATGTACCTTGGTTTTAAATCTATAATGCATTCCAACTGCATTTATTTCAGCATGCATATACAAATTAATAAAATACTGAATTATATTTATCAAAGTCACTTTTCCCTTCCCACATTTTTGTTTTAATCACTTATTCCCATGGATCCTATAAAGAAGAATGAATTGGTTATTCTTTTACAACTCCCTTGTTAAAGCTCTTGGGTGACTCTGCAAGATTCTCCTTTTTAAAAATGGCTGTTTAAAGCATTTAGCACAGCTGGAGTTCACTGTATAAGAAAACATGGAGCATTACAGCATCACTAATCATTGACATTGCAACATTTCAAACTGTAAATCCTCTCCTGGCTGCATTGCAGACTCTTTTGATGGTGGGTTTGATCGTGGAGAGCCAAGTAAAAATTTTAAAAGTTTTTTTCAAGAAGCCTAACACTTTCTGTCGTACTATTAAAATATTTCTGTAATTTGAGACTTTAAATAATTTTGTTTTAAAAAAAACTCCTTTGCTATATAAACTTGACAGCTAGTCAGTTCCATTGAATTAATAACAAACAGATGGAGTGATAAGAAAACTAACGTGGTGGTCCTAAGTATGCGTACTAGGAAGTGAGTTCCAGTGAACGCAGTGGTACATAGTGATGAATAAACATAGATTGTGTTGCATGCATGAATTCATGTTTGTGACAAAGGTTTATAGTCTTTCCAGAGTCTTGCATTCTATAATATATTGCTTCCTGGTTCTCCTTGTCGTCTCCTACCCTTTAGAATGTTATATCTGTAAAATATGAGCATTCCTTTATGGAAGCTTGACTGTCAGAGAGATTAATAGTAATGTTTAGTATTAGTGTTATATAGCCAGAGAGTCAGAAACAGGATAGACACCAGATTAATTTCCATTCCCCTCAGTAAAATCACATAGGAAGGGATTCTATTCTACCAGAACATGTATCTAGTACCTAATATTCAAATATTAGGTACTAGATACACCGTAGCAGATGTATCTTTTGATGTGCTCTGATGCCTATGATTACTTTGTCTGCTGTAGGCTCTACGTATTATTATAAGGTCTGTATGAGCACTGTGTTGCTCTGAGGCCAGGAAAGAGTTAGATAGCTTCATACTACTAATGGATCAATAAAGGAATAATGATAGTATATCAGAATTAGTACTCTACTAAGGATACTCGGCACAGTGTGGTAAAGTAATGCAGAAAGTATTGCCTTTATACTACGTGCCATAAGTGGCCACACTGATTTATCCTTTTGTAGGAATTTTTGTAGTCAATCAGCTTTGGAGGACCTCACTGCTTTCTTTCTCTGGAAGGTGCCTAGAAAGGTGCTGGTAGGAACATTCTGGGGACAGGCTGGTTTGCTCCAGTGATTACATTGTGCAATCACTAGAAAAAGGAAAAAGCCAGCCCATTCCCACTCTGGACCAAATAGTGGGCTAAATGTCTCTTGGTGTTCCCTCTGTTTCAGTGTCAAATATTTTGATTAAAGATGAAAATACTTGACATAACAATTAGCCACTCCTGGCAGGAGGCGGGACGATGAGCCGCTCTGCCAGGTCGAAGAGTGGCTTGCCGACCGCAAGCTCCGGAACAATAGGAAGGGAGTGTAAAACCTGCGGCAACAGCAAATGGTGAATGGGCAGTTATGTCCACAGTCATGATGGTAGCGATTTAGCCAGAAAAGCACAAATTTTAAAACTTTTCTTTTTTTCTCTTCTAAATTAACCTGAAACCTTCGCTAAAATGTCTTATAGAGTCCTGTCCTTGTGAGTATCATTCTGTTTGTTAGGAATTAAATTATAGCATAATACCATAGTGTTTCCTCAGGAAATAATGTAAAATAGTGATGTATGAGAAATGGTTTCATGATAACTTGAAAGAACAGGCATGTACCAGTTTTATTCAGAATATTCAAAATATATTGTATATTAAATGAATAAACATATTCCTGTATCCACAGTTTTGCAGTTTTATAAGGAGCATATTTGAATCCTTTAATAAAACATTTCAGATTGCATTTCATTGTGCAATTTTTTTTTTTTTGCCTTCTGTGTCTCCTCCCTTCAGATATCTTTTGATTTAGCAGAGTATACGGCTGATGTTGATGGAATTGGTACACTACGATTGTTAGATGCTATCAAGACATGTGGCCTCATAAACTCTGTGAAGTTCTACCAAGCCTCAACAAGTGAACTCTATGGGAAAGTGCAAGAAATACCACAAAAGGAGACCACTCCTTTTTATCCTAGATCACCATATGGTAAGTATATTACTCATCCTTATGTATTCCACCATGATTCTACAGGGAAGCATAGCTGCTACTAAAACTAAAGTGACTTGGGCGACCAAAGGTACACTAAGGTGCAACATTTCACATCTTAAAGCCACAGTCATTTCTACATCATATTTTCTGGAGCAGCAGTTTATGGCATGTTAGACCTGAAACCTTTATAAAGATGGTTGAAATAAAGATATGAACATGTTCTTCATTCAGCTATACCTTCTTTTTCTTCCTTTTCACCCAATTTGACATATTCTCTCCAACATTTCTATAATGGCTTATTTTCCTTTTATTAAGAATAGGATGGCTGGCTGTCAGGGAAGCATATTCAATAATGCGCTAAATCCAGTTGTTAATCCTAACTGGAGTAGGTTCGTTGAATTAATGGGGTCTTAGTAAGTCTGCGCTTACACAAATCCTATTGATTCCATTAGCCAATATTTTTTTGTTGAAACCACAGTGACAACATTTCTTATCTGGTTGGATACTGCTGTATAAAGACAATCTGGTTTCATGGATGCTATCATATATTTTAAATACCTTTTAAAATATCCAGATGATGAAACTTTTTTTGTTAATTTCAAGAATGTTTGGCTTGGGAGTGGTTTTTGTATAGCTAAGATTTCTCGGGAGCGCATCTCACTGATGAATCAGGTTTAAGTATTTTGCATGTAAGATTGCAATATTTGCTTTTTCCCTTGGCTGCCTTCTCTAAGTAGTCTCATTTGTGCAAGCCACACTCAGGTAGTGTGTTCTACAATTCTTTCTGGCTCTCTCTCTCTCTGTGTATATATATGTGCAAGTGCATATGCATACTGACTTTTGCAAATGTTTCAATGTGTATTAATATTATTGTTTTAGGAGCAGCAAAACTCTACGCCTATTGGATTGTAGTGAACTTCAGGGAGGCTTATAATTTGTTTGCTGTGAATGGTATTCTCTTCAACCATGAGAGTCCCAGGAGAGGTAAAAACAATATTTGGTAATTTCTACCACTCCCTTGGTGTACATCTGAACAGGAATTCATTTACAGCTGCTTTCAAAGAAGATTCTAATTCTGCATAATGAAATATTTTATTTTCTCATACAAAATTTTGTTTTGTAAAAACCTTAAAAAACATGTAGTAGTTGTATGGAAGGAATTGATCGTTTCAGGTTTTCCCCCTGACATTATCATCATCTCTTCTGTGTTAAGCCCCTCAAAGCATCTTTATATATAAAGATTTTAACATACTATAATCTATAAAACCTCTGTATATAAAATCCAAGTACTTCTAAGCACTATACCAATAACAGAATTAGGAAGATTGAGTACTTGTCATTACAAAGATGTGTTAACTGTTTCCTACTCCTGAGATTAGTTATATCATAGAAAGAACTCATCTGGTCCCCTTGTGCAGATTTCATATTAAGTCCCCATTCTGGCAACCTCATTCCTGTGCTGTTTAGAAGTGCTGAGTTCATTGGCTGTTTGCCAGGGTCCAAAATAATGATTTCAGAAGAAGAAACAATTTTCCCACTCTCACTTGCTGCCTTCCCCACCTTTTGAAATATTTTAGAGGATGAGTAGGAAGAGTTCCAGGCTGGAAATAGTTCTGGAAGGTTGGTGGAAAGAGATGGGTACAAGTGAGAGAGAAAGCATTATTAATTATAGTAGGACTTTCTTTCGTACTTTCGTTAGTTCTTTCTTACTTGCCTGCTTACTTACTTGCTTAGAAGGAATCCAGAAAGAAAAAGACAGCAAAACTGTTTGTTTTGGGACTTATTTCCCACTTTTACAGAGTGACACTTAAATATTTTTCTACTGCCATTCATTTATTCCCATTTCTAAATGAGAGACAGAAAATGGAAATGCTTTTATATGATTCCTAAGGTATCCCAATATTATCACTGAAGAGCGGGATGGAAGGCAGGTAGAAGAATTTCAGATGATAGAGTTTAAGTTTTGGAGCAATATGATATGAGGAAGGAACAAATAAGATTACTCAAACCTGAAAACTGATTACACTGAGGATGTGATCAAATGGGGAAATAGATTGTAATTTAGACCTCTTGTGGAGCAGCTCAATGCCATATGTTTGCCGGTGATCACAGGACATGTAGGGAAATGCACTCCAGATTGATCTTGAACTATGGCCAAGCTGGGGCTTTTTGGTCCAACTGCAGGGCTTCTACTTTTGGTGTCTGGCTGAAGAAATTCCCCAGCAGAAGGAAGGATTGCTTTATGAGAGATTGCTCAGATTAAAGCAACCTTTTCTGTTGCAATCAGGTGCATACCTTTAGAGCCATCTGACCACATTCTGAAAATACCATTGAGAACCTTTGCAACTATGTGAAATACTGTATGTTTAATTCCATATTTATAATATATGCTTTAAAATTAATTGAAATGGTTGCACTACAACTTGACTTCTTGGCAATTAATTGCACAACTTCTGATATTTATAACTTTGGGAATATGGTGGATTTCATATGGAGCAGTTTCCAGATCAAGTTGCCTCCTTGAAGATGCTGTTATGGTTTGAGAGAAGAAGAAAGATTTCTGTATTCCTTATTTCTTTTGATCTGTAAAGTTTCTTTGACATTCTACCCCACTATGAGACTGCTTCCCTCTGAGCTTTCAATCTCATGCATATCCCTCACACATTTATTATCCTGTTGGATATTACTAGCCTGTGACTCTAAGTTGCAGACTTCTGTTTTTACAATTTATACATGTGTGGGGGTGTTGCATGTGCCTGTGTGTGCTACTTGCCCATGATTTAAAAAAAAGTCTTTGTGGAGAATGCATTCTTTTTTGTAGTTATGACAGGAACGAAAGCAGCCAAGAAACATTTTAGATACTACTACAGAGTTAAAGTAAAATGTCTACAAATGTTGTTAATTTTGAAAATGAACTTAAGTTCGTTCTTCATAGGCACCTTGAAACTTTTAATCTTTTTCATAATTTTATGAACTTTTAAAAGCTTATTAAAAGCAAAAGCAAAGCGTGCTGCTTCTATACTGCCCTATAGTGCTTCAAGCACTCTCTGGGCAGTTTACAAGTTAATTATGCAGGCTAAACATTGCCCACCCCAGCGAGCTGGGTACTCATTTTACCGACCTCGGAAGGATAGAAGGCTGAGTCAACCTTGAGCCGCTACCTGGGATTGAACCCTGGGTCATGAGAACATTTTGGGCTGCAGTACAGCGGATTAACCACTGCACCACGAGGCTCAGCTTATTTATTTGTTTATTGTATTTTAGCAATGTCAAGTGTGGTGTAGAGCAGAGGTCCCCAACCCCCGTTCTGCAGCCCGGTGCCAGTCCATGGCCTGAGCTGGACTGGGCCATGGAGACAGACTTCCTCCACCCACTCACACGCACTCCCCCCCACAGCCTGTTACCGCCTGTTTGCGCCTGTGCACGTGCACCTACGCCCCATCTGAGTGCTCCACCACCCCTTTGTGCATGTGCATGAGTGCTTCTGGAGCGTTGCCCTTTGTGCCTGTGCACCTGGATGAGCATCGCACCACCCTTTACGCATGCGCTCAAGCATGCGAGAGAGAGAGAGAGCACATGGGGTGCCCCACGTTCCCCAGCCAGTCCGCGGGGCTAAAAAGGTTGGGAACCACTGGTGTAGAGGATAGAGTAACTAGGTTCAAATCGCCACTTGGCCGTGGAAGCTCAATGGCTCGGGGGAGGAATTGATAAAAACATTCATTACCGTATTTTCCGTGTATAAAATGACACTTTTAACTTAAATAATTAGACAAACAATTGACGGTCATTTTATACATGAAAGGCAGTCACTTTCCCTGCCTTTTGTGAAGCCACAAAGTAAAGCAGCCGTGAAAGGGCGGCATGCTCGCACGCCTTTGATCCTCAAGCAGCCATGAAAGGGGCTTCAGAACCAAAGTGGTGCGATTGTACAAATTTTCAAATTTGGGGGTTAGAAAAGGGGGTGCGATCGTACAAATTTTCAAATTTGGGGGTTCGAAAAGGGGGGCTCGTGTTATACATTGGGTCATCTTGTGTAGGCATCCTTCAGTCGCGAGAGACTATGGTATCGTGCTCTGTATGGAGGTCTTGGAACAGTGTCTTGTGTGGCTGAGAAGGCCAATTCGAGAGAGACAATCCCTTCCACACTGAAGACAAATCCAGTCTGTCCCCTGTCCAGCTCCCTGGTTTTGCTTGTCTCGGGACTGCCTCTTTGCCTCGGTCTGCTGTACAAGTGTCTCTTCAAATTGGGAGAGGCCATGATGCACCGCCTGCCTCCAGGCTGAATGCTCAGACGTCAAGGTTTCCCATCTGTTGAGGTCCATTCGTAAGGCCTCCAGATCCCGCTTGCAGATGTCCTTGTAACGCAGCTGTGGTCTCCCTCGGAGGTGGCTTCCCTGCACTAATTCTCCATACAGGAGATCTTTTGGAATCCGACCATCAGGCATTCTCACAACGTGCCCAAGCCAACGTAGACGGCGCTGTATCAATATTGTATACATGCTGAAAATTCCAGCTCGTTCTAGGATTACTCTATTTCGAACTTCATCTTATAAACAGAAAAATGCGGTAAATATTTCATTTATTTTGAAAGTCCTTTTAAGATCACTAAAAGTTGGTTCCAACTGGACAGTGTGCGCACGTGCGCACACACACACTCATATTATTCAGTGTTGGAGATAAAAGGGCAAATTTTGATAAAACGTGTTTCAATAAAACTGTTAAATATTATGAGTACAGGCATGTCTCAGGACCTAGGAAAATGAGAGAATAGTAAACAGTTCTTTGCTGTTTCATTGTGTTAGAGAAATGATTTCCCTATTACTTTTATGCTTAAATTTGTAACAGAGATTTCAAGTAGTTCTGTGGTGGACAGAGATTATTGTTTTCCATCTCTTAGGAAATGGCACACCAAGCATGACATGCAAAAGACCTGCTGGGCTTTCTTAGACTTACTACATTAGATAAAAAAGCTGTGTCTCAAAAATGCATACTAAAATTTTGGAGGCCTGGCAAAACATTTTGATAAATGACTCTAGAGGAGAATGAACAGATTAAATACTTGCATTCAAAAATTCACTTAATAGGTCTCAGAATTGTGAACAGTAACATAATGGTTTCTCCCTCCACACACATACACACTTGTTTGAGTCTTGCATCTTGTGTCTACCAATAGACAGGAGAGTAAAAATTTTATTACATCATGAAAAATTTTGAAGTTAATCCACTTTATCAGATGCATACGTATATATGGTGTGGAATGTAAATTGCTGCTCAGCAGTGGAGCTGTTAATGCTGGAAGCTAACCATTGCAGTGCTCTTGACTGCAAATCTAGACCAAAATCCTGTTGCAGAAAACTGTCAACATAAGGGCAATTGTACAAGTGAGGTTTTTTCCCCACTTTTCTGGCTGTGAGTCATGTGATAAACACACAGCCAGAGGAACAATGGGTGCATGGCAGACAGATAGCCAAAGCACCTCCACCAGTCCTGATTGATTGCCCTCACACAGTTGTGTAAATAACAGGACACTGAGCTTAGATTTGTTTTGCTTAACATCTTGTTGATTCAGGAGGGGAAATTCCCTTTACTAATATTTTCTTTGTGTTTTGAAGATGATTTTGTCTAAATCACTCTAAATTTTATTTCATTCTTAAATTCCACTGAGAAAGTAGCAAAGGCACACACCAAGTTCTAAAGGCTAGCCCAGCTAGAAATTTTGAATTACTGTAATTCATACACAGTTATGGTGCTGCATTGGGTATTACAGGTATTTTATCAATACTTAAATTGAAATTTGCAATTTAAATTCCATTCTGCTGGATAGGTCAATGAATTAGGTATCTGACAGTAGAGCCAGAGGTTGGGAGTTCAATTTCCCATTGTGCCTCGATGGAGGACATCCAGGCTGTATGGCCTTGGGCAAACTGCAGTTCAAGGATGCCCCTAGAAGAAAAGAATGGTAAATCACTTCTAAGTACTCTATA